AGGCCGCGGCCGCCATTACCCGCCGCATGCCCGCCATGGCCTCAGGCCGCCTTCCCCTCATGGCTCCTTCCCCTCCTCACGCCGGCCCCGTCTCGTCCTGCAGGGAAGTGCCGAGGCCTCCGCACCGCTCGGAAGCTGCGCAGCCACCGCCGGGACCAGAAGTGGCACGACAAGCAGTACAAGAAGGCGCACTTGGGCACGGCGCTGAAGGCCAACCCCTTCGGGGGCGCTTCCCACGCCAAGGGCATCGTCCTGGAGAAAGTGTGGGTGCTCCTCCCGGTTGGAATGGGCGTCCCCGAGCCCACCTGGGATGCAGCTCAGCCACGGATGCTGGGGGGGAAGATAGGGATTTGGGGTGGTTTTTTTCCGTTCTCCTACGAATTGGGAGAAAAAAACCCAAGGAATTTCTTCCAAAAATGGTGGGAAAAATAAAGATCTTGGGCAAAAAATAGTTTAAAAGAAATGGGAGGAGGGGTTGGCACGAATTACAGCAAAATGAGAAATGTGTGGGGTATTTAAAAAAATGAGGGAAAACGGGGATTTTTGACAAGAATTGGGGAAAATAAATTTCTTTGAAAAATAAAAAAGGGAAGTTAAATATAAGGGAAAAGGCAAGATTTTTTTTGTTTTTGCATAAGGGATAATCAGGATTTTGAGCACAAAAGGAAGGAAAATTGTGTTTGTTATACATCCTTCCTACTTTGCCTTTTTTTCCCCCCTCCTTAATAATTTACAAATTAGCCTGCCACGGCTCTGGTTTTGGGACACTTTTCTGTGATTTCGGTTGTTTTAGGCTTTTAGAATTTTACTGAATTAGTCTGGAGGTCATTTAAGTTTCTATTTGGCTTAGAAAGTGGTATTTTAAGAATTCATACATATATTTAGATTAATATATATTATGTAAGACTACTTGAGTATTAAGTCAGTACTTCTAAACAGCTCAGAGTTGTTGAAATGCAGATACAATTTACACTGAATACAAGGTTAAAAAGTGAATTTTGTGTTAATTAATGCCCCTCCTGGTCTGCCACGCTGATTTCTTTGCCGGTTGGTTTCCGTTGCAGGGGGGTAGAAGCCAAGCAGCCCAACTCTGCCATCAGGAAATGTGTCAGGGTGCAGCTCATTAAGAACGGCAAAAAAATCACAGCTTTTGTCCCCAACGATGGCTGCCTGAACTTCATCGAGGTAATTGCCCAGAATGTTGTGAGGGGAAGGTGTGAATGACGGGATCACGGTGTGAGTGACAGGATGGGGTTGGGTTTCTGGGTTTTGGTCAGGCACAGTGTGTGGGGAGGTGTTTGGTGCTCACACGCTGTCCCTGCCACAGGAGAACGACGAGGTGCTGGTGGCCGGCTTTGGGCGCAAGGGCCACGCCGTGGGGGACATCCCGGGCGTGCGCTTCAAGGTGGTCAAGGTGGCCAACGTGTCCCTGCTGGCCCTCTACAAGGGCAAGAAGGAGAGACCCAGGTCGTAAATCGTCACCACTCTGACAAGAACAACAATAAAATACTTTTAAAGGAGTTCTGTGCTTCTTACTCAGGGGATGCTGCAGGAGGAGGTGGGGTGGGCACAACGATCTTGCCATAGGAACTAAAATTTCTCCCTAGATCTGGCCAGAGAAAAAGCCCAAATCCTAATGTTCCTTTGGGACTACTAATCAGGAATTGGAATACCCCTCAGGGGGCAAGGAACTGCATGAATCGTAATGTATAATTGTGACAAAGAGCCTGCCTCACATCAGAAATGGTGACTGGAGTGCTGGGGATGGCGTTTGTGGCAGCGCTTCTTGTCCCAGCTGTGAGCACAGCCACACAACTCGCCGCGTTTTGGCCCTGAAGGGGTGACTGCACCCAACCCAGAGAGCTGAGTGTAATTAGCGTTGAGTACAAATTAAATACGGCTGTTTTGGGGTAGTTTGCCCAGTTTGAAGACCCCTGTTTGTAGTACACTAACACCCTGCACTGACTTGGCTGTCTCTGAATTTCTCCAATGTATCGTTCAGGGGTTTCTTAACGCAGTAAAACCTCAAAACATGTATCTGGAGTCAGAGTGAACAATTCCCTTGTTGCAACTGCAGTTGGTCTGCATGGTGAGGGAAAATTCACTTATGTAGGAACTTACATATTTATAAATATAGACAATTCAGTAATTTATATGAAAATGGAGAAGGAATCTAAGAATACATTGAGAATCTCTCCCGAGTTTTGTGCAAACTCCTGGGGGAGGCAGAAGGGCAGGGTACTGCTGTCTCCCCTGGCAGTTCCGGATCTCCAAGTTCCACAGGAAGGTTGAGCGGGCGCTGTCGTGAGGCGGTGTCGCCACCAGATGTCGCGACAGGAGCGGGGAGGGGGACAGCTGAAACGGAAATGTTCCAGCCAAGAACTCGCGTGTGTTCTGACAAAGGAAATGGGAAATTCGGGCAAACGGGAGCTCGGGAGAGGCAGGAGAGCAGCCCCGGACTGGATCCAGGCTGGGCAGAAGGAGCAGCCCCGGGGGTGCCGTGGGGCAGAGCCGGGAGCCCAAAGGGCTGTGCTGGGCTGAGCCCCAGCGTGGGCAGCAGGGCAGGGGGGATTGTGCCCCTCTGCCCCTCAGCTGAGACCCCACCTGCAGAGCTGCCCCAGCCCGGGCCCGGCACAGGGAGCACCTGGAGCTGCTGGAGCCGGCCCAGAGGAGGCTCCAGGATGAGCAGAGGGACGGAGCAGCTCTGCTGCCAGGAAAGGCTGCCACAGCTGCCATTGCTCAGCCCGGACAGGAGAAGCTTTGGCCTCGGCTCCCTGGGGCCTCGCAGGGCCCGAAGGAGCCGCAGGAAAGGTGGAGAGAGACAATTGCCAAGGGCTGCAGGGCCAGGAGCCAGGGAATGGCTGCCAGTGGCAGAGGGCAGGGCTGGATGGGATCTTGGGCAGGAATTGTTCCCTGGCAGGGTGGGCAGGCCCTGGCACAGGGTGCCCAGAGCAGCTGGGGCTGCCCCTGGATCCCTGGCAGTGCCCAAGGCCAGGCTGGACATTGGGGCTGGGAGCTCCTGGGACACTGGGAGCTGGCCCTGCCGGGGCTGGGGTGGGAATGGGTGGGCTCTGGGGTCCCCTCCCACTCACCTGTGATTCTGTGATTGTGCCAGTGCCCACGAATAGCTTGTCATTCCTGGACACTGCCAGAAGAACTCGAGCCAAACATCACCAAAGTGCTGCCAGAGGGGTTTTAAGCCTAATAAATGTGTTATGTAACCCAAAATCTTCCAAAACAGGAGAATCCAGGACTGGTCATGTTTTCCATCTTATCACCAAAGCTAATTAATATTTTCACTTACCAAAGTAGTTGGCCAACCACCTGACACCAGCAATACCTGAACTGAATAAGAACGCCCCTACAAGAGATGACTTTGTTTTGTAACACACTTGAGAAGGCGCTAAGAGGGTGCTGTGTAAATCCATTCTCTGTTCAAACACAGCAGTGAAATCCCGTCTCGCCTTAAGGTGAATTTGTCTTCAGGAGGTGACAGCTACAACAAGCTCTCAGGTGAAGAACTGAAAGCTTCCTCGTGGCACAGGGTTTTTTAAGATTTTAATGAAATCCAAGAGATAACAACTTGTGTGACACCTTCCTAATCCTGAGCACTCAATACAGGGTTGCCCTTGCAGCTCTCAGCTTCAGGCTTTTTTTTCTTTTTTTTTTTTTTATTCTAGGTGGTAAGAATTTATTGCTCAAAAATGCACTAAATTCCTTGAAACACTTTTAAAAGCCTACATGTTACTAAAAATAGGTATAAATACCCATACCCACGCTGTTCTCTAGAAGAGAGTATTTTTGAGGAAATAATTGTAACTCCACCATTCAGAGGGAAGAGCAATCGTCCTTCCTTTGTGCTGGGACTGAATTTATATCTCTGCAATATAAATACAGATGTCCAAACAGACTCATGAAACCATCATCGTAGCAAAGAGGTGGGGGGGGAAAAAAGTAATTGAAAAAGTTTTCACTGAAATTCATGGAGATGCAGCAAGAATTGATGACTTGACTGGATTTAGCTGTAATTAAGTAGCTCCACATTTCCTGTGTGGAAAAGAATGTTCCTGTTAGTAACCAAAGCCAGGCAACCTCAAATCTCCTGGCAGGGGGTTAAATTCTTACCTGATCATGCTGACACAAATGAGGGATTATGTATGTGGCTACCGACTGCATCCTGCAGAAAAACACATTTTTTGGCTTAGGTGAACACATAAAATTAATTCCTCTTGATGATTCTGGCACCCCAGAGCAGGTATGAGACTGTTCTCTCTTACCAGAAACCCCCAGAAGTGAAGAACCTCCCTTGATGTGTCTTCCCAGATTAGCAGAGATGAACAACTGAGCGAATTTACAAATCCAAACTGGAAATTTTCTCCTTGCTAGGATGCAGGAGTTCAGACAATGCATGTAGACAAAACCCAAGCTCAGGTCTAAGGATCTTCAACAGTTTCACTAAATAATTAATTCCAACATAATATATAGTCACAAAACAGTGCTACAATACCCTTGTTTTAAGTGTGTATATATATATATATGTGTGTGTATGTATATATGTATGTATATATATATATATGTATATATGTATGTGTGTGTGTATATATATATATATATAATTTTCTCATTAAGGCATAAATGTAAATAGGAAATTGGGTGCCTATCTCCCACCCCAGCCATTAAAAAGGAGATATCCAAATGGGCTTATTTATCTCCTTGGTCACAAATATTTTTGTTAGCCTGTATTTGTTTCTCTATCTAAACTCCATGTATTTGTACGAGCCAAGCTGAATTTTGGTTTTCCAGCCAAATTTCAGGGAAACACTGATACTGATGAGACACTGTGCTGTCACCACGTTGTCTGAGCCCAGTACGATGTGTAATGCCCTGGTCAAATAATCCTCTTCTCTGTTTGCAAATACTAAATTAAGGTAGAAACCAAGGGTGTTGAGACTTTTTCCATGTAAAATAAAATTATTTATTTTTTTTACAATAAATTCCACATTTTGAAGGCTGAGTGCTTCTATTCTTCTGTTGCAGGGTATCACAAGATCACAGAGCAGGGGTGAACATTCAGCGGCTCCTAAACCTGCTGTTACCTCTTTTTGTTGGTTCTTCCTCCTATCTAAGTCTCAAATTTACAAATGGACTGTGGATGCAAATTTCAAGCATGTGTTACCAAAAGTGTTAAAAAAAATTAAGGTAGCTGTGGGCCGTATTTTGTAAATCTTACATGGGAAAAATGGCTTTTCAGAAAGGTTGTTAGGGTGCAGAACAAAATAAACAATGTGCTTTCATTATTAATTCCAAATGGCTGGCAAACAAACTCCCCAGCAATAGAATTTGAAGGACTGCACTCTGTATTCCATATCCTCCAATGACAAGTAATGGAAGTTAAAAACACAGTCTGAAAAATCAGGATCTGGATGCACTTCACACTCCCAGCTCTGATGTGGCACACACTAGGCTCTGTGTGCAAGTGACAATTGCTGCATGTGCAAAGTAAAATCCATGTTTCAATGTCAGCTGCTCCGTTTTACACTGCAAATAAAACGGGATTGGGAGAGAAGCCAGGATGGGTGGTAGGGAAGTTCCTCATAATCTGGTTCTCAGTGGCAGCACCACCAGGCAATTCCCCAAAAGCCAACAGCTGTCAGGGGAGGCTGCAGAAGCAGTGCAGGGTAGGGAGCAAACCTGTGAGCAACCACAACTACAACGAGAAACACTAATTGGGAACAGCAGCAGCTCCCAGGGGGCACAGAGAGCTTCCCTGGCAGGCAGCAGAGCACGGCAGAGCCAGATGTTCCCACACGGCTGCTCCAGGCTCCTGAGCTCCAGAGCTGGACGTGCTCATTGCACTCAGGCTCCAAGGGCTCTGTCTGTGACAGTCCCAACCCCGCTGGCCCCACGAGGAAGTGTGACATGTGTGGGATATTCCCAGGATGAGGATGTTCTGTGGGCTGGTCCCTCACCAGGCTCTGGTGGAGAAGATGGCTCTCAGGTGAAGCAGTCTCAGCCCATACCCTGGCTGCCACAAGCTCACACCACATCCCATGAGAATTTTTCTGTGTTTATATTGCATTTTCTGCCCCACAGATGGTGCAGATCTTCTAGGGGTAAGTTCAGTAGATCCAACAACTCGGCTTGTGCATCTGTGTGCAGCCTCACCAAGGGCACAGGAGGCAGGTGATGAGGTCTGGGTGGTGCTGGGGAGGTGTTTCCACAGCAGCAGCCAATTCCCACCATCATCAGTGGCGAGTCCTGGCCAGGGAAGGAGCCATCAGCAATCATTTCCACTCAGGCATGGCTAACCAGCCAGGAAGGATCCTCCAGCTTCATCCCTAGGGAAGTCTGCAGCAGCTTTTTCACAGCCTAACCACTCCCAGTCCTTCAGCTCTGGGCTCTGGAGAGGCGACAGCAAACACAAAGGAGTTAAAATAGAATCCTTGCAGCAGCTCTGCCAGACCCCCAACCCTGTGCTGGGGGAACCAATATAAAACACTTCTCCACACCTGAGAGAGACCCCAGGACATCAGGGGCCTGAAGGGTGTCAGCAGTGGGCTGAGCACCTCTCTCTGCATAAATTCTCATCGCAAAGCACCTGAGGCAACAAGGCAGACAGGTAAGCACAGCACTGAAAGGTGAGTCCTAAATTAACGGAACCAAGAGCTTCAAAGGAGGAGGTAATGGTTCTGCCATTTATCCACGTGATCTTTGGAACAGGAGGATGGGAGAGGAAAGGATGGCTTCCTTTTCTCTTACCTTTCAGCCAAATCTGTGCTCTGCTCAGATGCCACTTTTGCGTAACTCAAAGGCAGATTCAGGCCCACAACTGGGCCTACGGTACTGAGCCACAGTATGATGTAATTTGTATGTCTAGGGGGGAAAAAAGCACAGAAAAAAGCACCATAAATATATTATCCCAGCCTTTTCTGAAACACAGACAGACTCAACAGTCACAAAACAACTTCAGATGGGGCTATTCCTTCATTTTTCCTATCACAAATGTATTTTAATTTTCCAGCCTGAAGTGACAATACAGAAATCTTATTCTGCCTGGACCAAGGGAGTAGTTTTGGTCATTTCCATCCTGCAGCTGACTGACTTTACCTGCGTTGCATGAAGCCTTGCAAGGCCCAGCAGTGCCCCTCACCTGTGGTGCTCCTGTGAGCCCCCCAGCACAGCAGAGATGAATTCATTGGTTCGACAGGGATGCAGGACAAAGAAAGGCTGCCCAAGGATGGGGTGCTCCTAAGAGGGAACAAAATTTGCTTTGTCACAGAAGGGAAAAACAGAAAAACCAGAAAAAACATCATGTGCATTTGGAAAAGACAAGGCAGGGTGCAATCAGCCCCTGATGCAACTTTCCTCACTTCAGAGTCTTATCTCATATTGCTCTTCCTATCACAGTCATGACAAATTAATATATATTGTATATATTAGATATTATTAATATGTATTTTCCTCTGTTGAATGGGAAATAAGATCAGCAACCAGGCTCTGCTACTGTTTTAGTTAAAATCTATTGGTTTGTGAAAGTAACTCAAGTAACTGTGTCAGCATTAACCGGTTGTGGAGAGGCAAAGCTGCTGTGTAAACCACAGTCTGATCAAATGGAACACATAAAACCCCTTCCCCTCAGGAAGAAGGGTTTTCAAGGACCCTGAGCCCTGCTATCTCCTCAGGCTGGTGTTGGGAAATAGACAATGATGGTTCCGTTTGGAGAGGCAGCAAGAAGAGAGAAGGAAGTGCTCCCAAGGTGGCTTTAGCTTCCACTTGGTTCTGATGCTGAAAATGTTCTCACAAGGATCAATCCCTTTAAGCCTAAGAGAACTTTAAAAAATTCCCAGAAGCTTCAGAATATACAAAAAAGAGTGTTCAGAAAGCTTTGTTTCACACTGCAAACAGATAACTTGCATAAGAATGCTACCATCTGCTGTTGTCAAAAGTGAATTGATGCAGTTTTTCCTTTGAGAAAGAGTAGTATTTTGAATTAAACCCCTCCCCCCTTTCATTATCTGCTCAAATTAACTTAAGCCTCCAAATAATTCCAGAAAATACATGGATCATGTCAATGGAATACCTTAATACCTTAAAGGAAAAAATATATAGTTAATAATATTTACAAAATTATTATGCAAAATGAAAAAAATTTAAAAAGTCAATTGTGAAAAAAATTTCAGCGATTTCCCTTACATGGGAGATGAGTGTAAGAGGCAGCACAAAGCCCCAGAAAGAAGAGAGAAGTAACCTGGGTTTAAGTGACTCAGCTGCCTGAACGAGGCATGAAGAAAATTCCAAAGCTGAATATTCAGCCTGAAGTTATTCCCAACCATCCTGACCCCCAGGATTTGATTTTGCCCTGCATTTCTTGCTTCAGCAAACTACCAGTGAGTGACACACAGAGGCCAGACTTGATTTTTAAAACAGTCTATTACCTTTACATTCTACATCTTCTTTTAGTCCTTCCTCTTCTTACAATATGACAACAGAGTGGCACTGAAAACATTCCCAAACACAGGAATTCCATGCTACTCAAAAGACAGGAATGTGTCACACACTGGTAGGAAAACCACGAAGGTGGCCAAAAGAAATCCTGAGCCAAGAGCCATTAAGGAGCTGCCTTTAGGAAGGAAAAAAGCTGAGGTGGGGATGAGAAGCTTTTGGAGCATCAGGGAAAGCGCGCTCTGAGAGCATCAGCTCTGGTTCAAAGGCTGCATTCCAAATCCTGTAGACAATGGCATCCTGTGAGGCTCTGCTGTACACTCAAGGTTAAACCACTGACGCAGCAGCTCTGAGCAGGCGGCATGGGGATGCTGCCAATAAAAATGCAGGAGTTATCAAAGCCCTGGATGATTTCAGAATTGGTAATGGGCTACAGAGCCTCTCACTGCCAGGCCCCCAGCCTGCCCTGAGAGAGGGTGGCGTGTGTGTGTGTGTGTGTGTGGTGGAATGAACCCCAAGTCCTTCTCAAACACTGTCAGAAGGGTGAAAATGAGTCAAAGTTTGTGCTGCATCAGCTTCATTAGCATCAGTTCACTGCCTGCTGCACTTACCTGGCAGAACGATGACACTCCGCATGCACTGAAATGTATCCTGAGCAAAATACTAGGGCAGCAATTCTACCCTTCATCTAGTCTTGTCTGGTGCCAGCTACACCAAAAATATAGAGTCCTACTGGGACTTCATGAAGAAAAAAACCCAAAACAGTTTTGAGAAACAATATATGAGAATCATCCCATGTCTTGTTTACAATTAATCTTTTTCCAGTCAGTCATGCACCAGGGCGGTGTGAGAGTTGCAAGTCAATTCTCACAAGCACTCGCTGGCATTGTACTGCAAGAACCCATTTGCAGGTTGCCCACAACTCTTCTGGGCAGCAATACTCTGACACACAGTTTATTTGAAATCAACAGCATTATTTTCTTGGATCTGTCTATGATTTTGGATCTATCTAGCTATGAGGCTGATTTACAGCAGTGCCTGTCCAGCACCACATGCTGGAATCCATCACACATCTGCAGATCCCTCTGAGTCCGACCCAGCTGGGATGGGGAAGGAATCTTTCACAGGCAGGCCCCAGCTCTGCTGAATCTGGAAGCTCAAAATGTTGTTTCATTTATTTTCTGTAAAGACCTCTCTCACAGGTGATGCAGGAAAGATGTGTGAGGATGTTCTGTGCCTGCTGCCGTAGCTGCTGCCCCAACTCCTCCCATTAAAAAAATGTGGGGGAGAGAGATGGATGAAAGACATGAAATGCTCCCTGGGGTAGATTGAATATTAATCACAAAGTCCTGGAATGGTTTGGGTTGGCAGGGACCCCAAAGCCCCTCCATTCCCACCCCAGCCACGGCAGGGCCAGCTCCCAGTGTCCCAGGAGCTCCCAGCCCCAATGTCCAGCCTGGCCTTGGGCACTGCCAGGGATCCAGGGGCAGCCCCAGCTGCTCTGGGCACCCTGTGCCAGGGCCTGCCCACCCTGCCAGGGAACAATTCCTGCCCAAGATCCCATCCAGCCCTGCCCTCTGCCACTGGCAGCCATTCCCTGGCTCCTGAACCTGGTTTGCTCAGGAATGCCATCCCAGGCTGGGTTTGAGTGAGCAGAGCTCTCTGTTCAGTGTCTGTACAGGTACAGCCCTCCACACACAGGTGCTGAGCAGGGAGATGTCACAACACTGATCTGAGCAGTGGCAAACACTGGGCAGTTCCCAAGCACAAGTATAATTAAGACTAAATTTCCATCAGATTGCATTAAGTCATTTTATCAAGCAGTCTCCATGTCGGATTTGAACCAAAAATAAACATTACTTCGATAATGGGTAATTGTCTGTAGGTTTCTGTACCATGCTCTGCTGCTCTCCTCCCCAGCCAGCAGGAATTTTGTTGTCAGTACATCTCTTGTAACAGCACCATTTATTTTCTCTGTCATAACTGGAGCTCTTCCAGAGGTAATGGCTTCTATTTTCTCCAGTGCTACATTAAACTGCCTTCAAGCATCCATCACAACATTTATGGTCTCTCCATTGATGATAGTCCAGGGGATTTGTGTCTGAAGCTGCCTCTTCCCCTACCTGGTTTGCATGATGTTGCTTTGCAAAAATAAATTCACACAGGGGTGTCAAAATTTTTGTGCAGGTTCCTACCAGCAAACACCATAGCTGGTGTCAACTATTCCAGACATTTTCCCAGCAGTGTTCAAAACCCCAGCCACCAGGTCAGAAAAAGAAGGCAGAATTAATAAAACATGGCCCCCATAATCTCCTCCATTTAGGAAAAGGAAATAGTGATGCAATTAATAAAGAGGATACAAGTTTTCCCCTTCCTCCCAATTTCTGACCAAATTTACTGAAACAAATGGCTGGGTTTAAGTAAAAATTCTTCACTCAAGATTATACCACAAGTAATTTATGTTCTGGAATTCATGGTCAATCTTCTTCTTCACTCCTTATTTTCTCACACACATCAATAATAACTTTCTTGTTAATATAATCCAACCCTACATACTCAGAAAGAAGGCAGGGATATTCCTCTCTTCAGACTGACCCTGAGTCCCACAGCCAGAACAGTAACTGCAGACATGGAACTTCAAACGTGTGGAACCTGAGGTCAAAGGGATTTTCCTCTAATAATGGGATTGCCACAATGGAAACTCTATTACTATGGAATCACTATGTTGCAAGCACAACATTAAGGAACTGTAAAGACATGGGGAATTTTTACAATCCTGACAGAAGGTGTAAATCACAGTAATAAAGCTGTTGGTAGCACAGTAATTTGTACAGGGCTTCTCCATCTCCATGATTTAGGGTTGTGCTGGATCTTGGGCAGGAATTGTTCCCTGGCAGGGTGGGCAGGCCCTGGCACAGGGTGCCCAGAGCAGCTGGGGCTGCCCCTGGATCCCTGGCAGTGCCCAAGGCCAGGCTGGACATTGGGGCTGGGAGCTCCTGGGACACTGGGAGCTGGCCCTGCCGTGCCTGGGGTGGGATGGGATCAACCTTCAGGTCCAACCCAAACCAGTCTGGGATTCTGTGACTTGGGACAGATAATGTATTTCTGGTCACTGACCTCAATTCACAGCCAGACAAGTCATCCCACTGGCATAAGTGAGGCAAGTTTCCCCAGATCCTGAGGAGACAAAGTGCAAACCAGCCCCAAAAAGGAGATTCCTGTGGCTACTGAGCCTGTCTTTGTGGGAGGAGGCTGCAGAGGGCTTTGATTTACACTCCAGCTCTTTTCAGACAAGCAGTTGCAGTTGCCCCCGTGATTTAATGTCCCTGTGCCCCTTGTGCTGCCAGAGACCCACAACCAACTTCAGAGATGATTTTTTTATTAACACTTTCACTACTTCCAACACCACACCCCCAATTAAGCTGGATCCCATCCTTCTTCCATCAAATACCAAGTCCAAGCTGAAAAGGCAATTAAATGGCTACGTTTTCCTGAGGAAAGCAGAGATGCTTTGGCAGATCCTACAGCACAGAAATACAAGGACCCATAACACAGCCAGAATTTCTCTGAGATAAACCACGCCTACCACTTTGCATCTGCTGCTTCAAATCCATCATGGATCCCAACAAAGGTGCCTTCCAAACCAAACCATTCTGTGATTCTGTAATTTGTATTTTATGCCCCAATTCTGCCGGATTCGAGAGTATTTACAGTTTTGAGGAGGTGGTGATTACTTTTTACATTTTATAACTTTATTATTACATTAAAGGTATTAAATAGCTAACACAAGGTCCCTGAAAGGAGAG